GACGGAGAAGGCGTGTTATCTTTCGGCTTCCCCGATTAAACCATCCTCTATACGGTCATAGAATGTAGAACCTCTGCTCGTTTCGCGCAGGCCGGGGCTCCGTCCGTGTTCGGCAAGCAGCCGCCAGCCACAGAACATGAAGATTTACAGAACTGTTTCATACTTTAATGGCATGAACCCGAGAAAAAACATGCATTTTGTCTATCTCGCGAGGACCCCGACCTAGCTGCAGAGCTGTCCGCAGAGCTAAAGCCGGCGCAAAAGCGACCAAAGGCACGTGACGCGCCGGTGCCAAAAAAATCATTGCAGTGACGACGCCAATTTGTTGTATATTCGCAAGGCGCTAAACTTGGAGAACTGCCTCCATGGGCTTGATCCCAAGGACGATCCTTTGTTTGCTTGATTTCCGCAATATGGCCGCGGCTTTTCTGGCAGGATGTCGCTGCAGCAAAGCACCGGGCAAAATCGGCAGCCGAAGAAAAACAAAGGACAGGAGTTTCTAGCCACGATAACCCAAAGCTCTTTTTGGCCAACGTTGAAACAAAAGACGGCACGAAGCTGGGAAGGCGCCGAAGAAACAGAGGAACAGGCTAGACCCACAAATTATCCAGTCATTTTTCCCACCGAACAAAGACAACTTCCTGTTTCTTGTCATTTGCAAGTTGTTTGGAGGCTCTGCAAAGGGCCTTGAGGGAAAGCCAAAGCCAGGCCTTTGTTTCGCATCACTGAACTAAAAAATCAAGATGAAGACAATCCTTTGCAAGGCACCAAGTCGCTCAAGAGCACGACGCGGCAACCTGCCCGAGCCCAACGCCGGCTTTGCTTTTTGAAAATCACATGAATGACTGCAGGGCAACGACTCCGGCAAGCAGTAACGTACCCAGATGTCACACACCAGAGCTTGATTCCAAGTAGCTTCTTGCGGAGGCAGTGAAGTGCTGTACGAACCACCTCCTCCACGACCGAAACCTCGGAAGTGAAGGCCAGGGCTCAATTCCCCAAAGACACCGCTTTTGGCCTTGAAAGTTTCAATCGTATAAGAGATGCGTGCGAATATTAATTTGGGTGCCGATACCGCTGCAGGGGCATACATATATTGGGAGTTGACTTAAACCCTGTGTAGGGAGTTTTATATAAGACAGCCTTTCAGATGTTGTTAAAACCATTCGCGAAAGATTCGTGATGATGAGGTTGAAATTTTTTTAGATCTATCGAAAGTCATGGCTTTCATATGTTTTCCTTCTACCGACTCACAAAGAATATTAATACAAGGCAATCCTCCGGCAGAGCCGGTGGACGGAAGTGTCCCCGCATGTCCCCATTGTCTGTAGCCCTGGCAGTGAACTCCGATTCCTGTCCAAGCTGTCACGGACTAGCAACCTGAGTAGGCGCAGCCCTGACAGTGAGGCAACGACCTGCAGCGAGTCTGACGGGCTGCGCAGATGTTTGCCAATGTTACGGCTTCCGGGCGCAAGCACTAGTGAAATTTTGCGAAAGGTCCGCGAAAGTTTTGCGAACGCACCGCTAAAGTCAGGTTTCCAGCGTGAGGCCCCCCAACATTCCCCGAGCTGCATCACCCTGTGATGAAGCTGGCACGAGAATTGGGTTGAGTTGTGCCTGGTTCTATTTGGCACAATTCGCCCAGATGCTGCAAGTGACCATGAGCAGCTGTGGAAACTTGCAACCTTTTGCTGGGGTCATGCTGCAAGATGTTTGTTCTTATTTGGTGATACTATGACATGTTCCGGCTCATGTTAGCTAGACATGGTTGTAGGACCATGCTTCGAGATGAGGCCGCGAAAGATCCGCGAAAGATATCTGTTTTCCGCGAAGAATGGCCGTTCCAGGATGAAAGAATACTGATCAACCACCATATGTACCCGGTATCTTGTCTATATATCTTGTTTCTGGTGGATATGCTTGTTTCCTTCATTACTTGGCGGCTCGACGAACAGGAGGCGATCTGTGGAAAAAGAGGCTTTGAAGAAATCCAAGACAGGTGGAACAGCCCTATAGCCCATCCCATATGTACCACTACAGGGTCCTATATGGTCTCTCAACCTGTTTTGGATGGTCTGAATAAAAAATCGGATATTACATCATATAAATCCATCAGTGCGTCAAAAATATGTATTCTTCATTTTGGGTTTGCAAAACTAATTCTATCCAATTATATCTTGAAGGGCGATGAATGCAAACGTTCTATTTCTTCGGCGTCGGAAACGCTGCATCCTTCAAACGCTTTCGACCAGGGGGAAATATATTCAATGTTTGTAAAGCAGCAGCAAACATGAATAATAGAAGAACAAACAGCAACGCGGCAGAAGCAGCGGCAGCAGAACACAGAAGCATCACAATCAAAAGCACCAATGCACACCATTGAGAAGTAAGAAGCCTTTATACACTGGCAACTTTCTCATGAATAGGAAACATAAGACGAAAGATTATTTTAAAAAAATCAAAAATCTGATATGTTTATATGCACATTCGAGAGTTTTGCAGCTGCATTTCGGGTATGCCGCAAATAGAATTACGTGCGCCTTGCCGTTTGTGGAGTTTTCCCAAATACGTAGACTCATGGAAACAGATTGTCCCGCTCCCCAGCGACAGGACTTTACACCATCAAGTGATCCTTTCGCAATGACTTGCGCCGACGCAATTTCCACCGTACCCCCGCAAAACCACATGGCGCCGCAACGTCGCAGACGGAATTTGGGTAGAGCGCGCAACAGACTAGAACAACAAATGTCGTGGACACCGTCAGTCATCGCGCTCAATGAAACACCGAGTTTACACCAGCATGTTTTCTTTCCCCAAATGGCACGGACTCACCCAATCACACTTTGATCCATGGCCGCGCGAGACCGCACAACACAGCGACGACAGACAAAATTTGCCCACACAGTGCGCATCAGAACAATGCAACACCAAGCCTCGTAAACACCGGCAATCGTCCCTTCTCCAGCGACGCACAAAATTTGCACCAGCATGTTTCCCATCCCCGAATTTATTCTTGCAAAGCTTTCTGAAAAGCATCAACGAAACTGCTGGGTGAAACTACACGGCCGCCAAGCAAGCACCTCCAAACCTCAAGCCGTGCCAATCGGTCCCAGAATTGTAGGTTGTACACATATATTCAACGAAACCTCAACTGCTACCCTCCACACCCCCACAACGCAAGCACCTCCATACCCCAAACCCGATTCTAAATGTGCACAGAAAACAACACTGCAAATTCAAATTCAACAAACACCTCGAAACAAATAACAACAAAATAGACAAATAACACTAACACATAGGACAACACTTGGAAAACATCGCATATAGTACAAATAACAAGCAACAATAGTACCAAAAACGGAACCGAAAACAAATCCCATTTTTTGTGTTGCATAATATATATGTTGCTTCCTTGCTTGTTAATGTTTGACCTACATTGTTTCTTAGTATTGTTTATTTTTGCAAGTTTATTGTTTTGCAATGTCCAATGCCAGGCGTCATTCAGCTCAACACAAGTCTAGTGGTTCTTTCCTAAACATCAATGGGTGTTGCGTTCTTGGCCTGACAAACCGGTTGGCAGCATTTCTTCAAACCTGCTTGCTTGCAGGTAGCCCAGACACTTCATGTGACTGCCATATTTGCCGATCAGTTGGGGTGGTTTGGGGGTTCTATGCCAGTCCCATTGAGTGTTAGGGCGATAGATCCCAGAACATCCAAGATGGAAGTCTTAAACATGCTGAGCGTAGCTCAGCTCGACCGGATATAAACTCGTGGACCGCCTTCCTCATCTTTGAACGGCCTTCTGGTATTTTCCAAGCCTGTGAGCTCTGTGCACCAAGACTCTCAAAACAGGGGTGTTAATGTTCCTGAAACGCAGACTCTCTTCAATGATGCAGGTATACCAGGACACACGGTCGGGGTAATGGACACCCCCCTAACCTTTAGTCCCAGAGGCCCACGCCTCGACTGTTGCACGGATTGATCCAGGACCATTTGGAAGGCTGAAATGAAGTGGATGATTCTAGAAAGCCACGTGCGCGGCATATTTGGCTCTATGCCTGCCTAGAGAGCATGTGACAAGTTAGGCCAGTGAGGCGAACCTAGTGAGGCATCCCACTCAGTTTTTGAATCATTCGATCTTTGGGGAGGTCAAAAGTCAAAAGAAGATCTAAGCACACGAGCCCACAGCCCGCGCTGATTTCGGGCTCAGGATATCCGAACCATGAGTGTTCGCAAAGTCTTCAAGGCGCACCAGAAAGAGGCCAGCGAACGCTGTTTGATTGTTATTGTCATTGGCACACAGCGAGATGGTGGAACCGAACAAGAATACCGAACTATGAGGAGAGATATGTTCCGAACTGAACCAACATGGACCCTAAGCATGGACTCCTGAAAATGGTCCTTTCCTTTAGAGCCCACTGGTTATCAGTCCAATGTAATCTGCCGCAGGGTGATCTACTTTGATTATCCATCAGTTGCGTGAACCAATGTAATGTCGACCCATGTCAAATACGTCCTCGTTCTTGGTGGTATCCACAGATGTTTTACCCACCCAGGTGACCTCTCTTTGTTGGCATCCTGAAAGTGATGGCCTTCTAGCGTCGGCAGCCTTGGGTGTTAAGTGATGAGACACTTGCTGAAGTCACTAGAAGCCCTTGCTGAAGACGTCGTGAACATCCCAAAACCACCATATTTTTCCATGCTAAAAGATGCTCAAAGAATGACATTTGGTTGTATCTTCCTGTTTCTGCCCTTTTCTTCCCTGAGCTGGAGACCAGGTTCAGATGTACACGCGTTGTTGTAGCACCAAAACATGCCAAATACAATTTATAGATGAACCAACAATATCAAGAACATGCAATATGCCATGACAAGTGTTAAGAAGTGCTACATCATGTTTGTATGAACACTGTGTAAAGATCAAAAGGTTGCTCAGGCTCACATCCCCCCAAGCTGGAGAGAGCCAACGAGAAGCCAACGAGAAGCCCTCGTCTTCATGCATGGCTTTTCGATGTACCTGGGATCTTTGAACACTTAGCAAATCCAGGGAGTTTCTCCTACTTGCCCCACGGGTTTTTCGCAGCCCTACACCATGACCACCAGTTTCATGGCTCCACCTCGCCGATCTTCTTGTTCGAGCCGGACCTGGCCTCCTTCGAAACAACGAGGTCGGGGGGGCTATGATGGTGCGATCCACTTTTGGGGCACTCAGGGCTCCTCCTCGCCCATCGAATCCCTTCCCTTGGCCCATGAAGGCGCGTCCGTGTTCGGCGGTTGGCTCGGTGGTCAGTCGGTCACGGTCGGTGAGCCGAGAGGGTGAGTCAGGGAAAGACATGCCTGGCCTACAGTAGGTCTTGTAGACCAAGTCTATATAGTAGGAATGGTGACTGCATGGCGAGTAAGGGGGGAGCTCTTTTTTTGGCTGATTGATCATTTGATGTGGTTATGAGCATCAAAAACGCATACTTTGGACGTATTCCCGACAAGACTTGTGACTTGTGTCCTTCCTTGGGATCTTCGGATGGATTTAGCAACCAGCCACTTGTAATGTAGAGCATGCGCCATTGATGGGGTTTGCCAAAAGCGTAGTTTCGCTGGTACCCACTTGCAAGCTTGATGCTGGTGCATGGATCCTGTCATCCAGCCATCCAGGCTTCTTTCACAGTAAATGGATTTTCAGGAAGATGCATGGCATTGGCTGTTCGAAGAAGATTGCCGAAAGCCTGCACAGTCTACGGGTGATTTGGCGTGGGCCCAATGGCTTGACTCTTTTGATGGAGGCTCCAGCTGGGTGGGTCTTCAAGAATTCTGCGGGTCACTGGTCGATCTCACCGACAGGACCTGTTTGGTCCTTGGCTTGGTCATGGCCCCAGCTTGCAGAAGATGCCATGTGAGACAGATTCCGAGGACGATTAGCACATGTTTGCACCATTTGCATTGAACATGTTGGAATCAGATGGATTTTTGGGAGACTATGGTGATTCATCTTGCCAATCTTACGTCAGGGCTTGTGCGGTTGTGCCATTTGTGTTCAAATCTTTTGAACTCTTTGTGACCTGAAGAATATATGGTGCCTCAAAGGTCTAGTGTGCATTCGCCCTAAATGGTCATTGAAGATCCCCAATGGATGAAAAAGACACCTGTATCAAATGAACAAATTCTTTTGTGCAGGCCATTCATGTTTCTATGTCATAGTGAGTGCACACAGTGGTAGGAACCAAAGCACTCGACATTGAATTCCAGGACACCGTGCAAATCTTGACGTCTCCAATCATTGAATGTCATTATTTATCATGAACAATATCACAAATCCTTCGCAACCTCACATGTATTCAAATCTACAGGCTCCTGAGAGCATTTCTATCTACAGCCGGGAGCAACTACAGCTTCTTGTTCCACACCTATTATTTTTGAAGCACATCAAGTCAAACTGGTACGTTTTGTTCAATGTTCAACTCACCTTTACGCAGTTAGGGTGAACACAAGCTTCCTCATCCGCCACTCCATACCACGTGTCATCCGCACCGAACATGGTCATCCGATGTCATCCGCATGGGACGAGGCATCCTTTGGGACACTTGTTGGTGAGTGGATCCAATGTCAGCCCGCATGTCTTGCCCGGGCATTGGGGTGTCTTGCGCATGTGAGCCGAGTGTGAGCCAGACAGTCTGTGGATGAGGCGACTGGACTCATCGCAGTCGTCTCATCGCATGAAGATCACGAAGTCATGAAGTTGGAGGGTCAAAAACGCGCACATTGTGCGACGTCACTCATTGAGCCGTTGGGAAGCTAGACACAAAAGACGGTCCAATTTCAAGCGGGGATTGCAACCATCAGCATTTGGATCTAGTCGAGTCAGTTGCAACCAGCTCGGAGGATGACATCCTTACTTTTGGCCGCCAGTTCATGTGAGTTGTGAAGTTCAAGAACATGTCCCCAAAGACCTTGGGTTCAAGGGACCAACCACAAGAATATGTTACACAGCTTGGGCAAACTGTTAAGTGTTAACGTCCCCCATGTTCCGTGCACTTCGCCACACGGCCTGAATCGCGCCAGGACTACTCCACGCGCTTTTGGTCTCGCGCGCGGCCGGGCGATCGAGCCTTCGAGCAGTTCCTGCCCAAGCGCGTGGGGGTGATCCCCGGCGAAGCTTAGAACGGAGCGGCGCTCCGCACGGCGTCGGAGCGGGCTCGCGCGAAGCACGGGAGGTTTTGAGCGCGGGAGGTTCGCATGTCGGACGGTCTGATGGTGGATGGGCTGATGGTCGATGGTGGATGGGCCAGCTAATAATCTAAAACTGTCACAGTATATAACTATATATAGTGCTTGTATGTCCTTAATTGTCCTTGTATAAGATGAGCGTCACGTAGGCCCTATGGAGGAAAGGGTGGTAGTTGCAAAACCCTTAGATGATACCGCTACCTGGAGTGTCAAAGTACCTCAGAAAATGGCCGGACGCACATCTTCTTTGTTTATAGGATCATTTCCCATTGTCTAAGGTACTTTCCCATCATCATCCAAGATTTGCTGAGGAAAAATATGAAGTTGTCGTGGAATCCATAGAGGATCCAGGTATATACGTCTTGGATTCCAATCCAACACCCCGGTGACCGTTTCTCCCGGGCGCCGCCAGTTGGGAGCCACAGAAGCCACGGCGGTGGTGGAGACACCGCCTGCGGGTGAGAGCGAGGAGATCTTGCAGGTGGGCGAGGGAGCGGGGCGAGGGTATGGGTTGAGATGACGGAGGTCCAGAAGATTGAGGTCGCGGCTACCAGTCGTTTCGGAGAGCAGCCGAAAGCCGGCACATGTAAAGCTGGAGAGGCCAGAGGTATGGTAGGCTTTTAGATGGTTTTAGTATGAGTTGGTCTATGTCTATATTGTTCCAATGAAAAGTACTGAGTTCCAAGACACCATATTATTGGTAGCGAGACCGCTATGTCTACCGGACCCTGGACCTCTTGTAGTTTGATCCATCCCCACATCATCATGGAAGTTCCATATGTGGTAGCAATCCTTTCAAAGGGGATATGGAATTCTTGCCCGGCTCTCTGAAAAGGTACCAAGGCTCTCTGAAAAGGTATCCTGCGGATGTCCCAGCGCATGGAGCACACCAGTCACACCATATAGATGAAGCCCTCCCTGATTTTCCACCACTTTCTCATGGATCAGGAAGTCAGGAAGTGCCGAAGTGGAGGTTCTAGCCAGACCGAGCAAAGCCACTCTTGTGCCCAGTCTGGCGTCTTTGCTGAGCTTCCAGCTCCTCCACCGACGGAAGAGGCTCAAAGATCGGGGGGTGAGGTCGGTGGGGAAGGTGTGTCAAGTGATGTACGTTCAGCATCCATAAAGGCTTGCCAAGGTGGTTGCTCTCGGCCACTTGACTACTTCATATGGTTTTCGGAACAGTGTTGTCAGCACCAAGTTCCGGTGGTGTTTTTCGATCACCCTGACCATGTGTTTACCATCCCAAGTGTTCAGATCCACCCACCCCATGGTCAATATACCCCATTGACCCCTTTTCCAGCCCTTGATTCGCGCGTCTCGAAGTCTGGAAGCATCGAGACGCCGAAGGATCAGATCGTCTCGCCACGGTCGGGGCGATGGTCGGGGCGATGTTGAAGAGAAGCTTTCGATCACCCAGATCGTCGATCGTCTGTTGAAACCATGCCATCATGTTGAAACATGTTGAAACCCCTAATGCTTCAAGTCTGCATGCGTGCCACCTGGTCGCGACCCTTTGATCTTTTTTCCTTTCCTCTCTCAAGTTGCTAGGAATCTCAAACAGCTGGGTGTTAGCTCGTCCAGCGCCTTCGTCCCCCGAGCGGCTCGGCGCCGAGCGTCTCTCCGCCCAGCGCCTGGCCATCCTCAACGGGACCTTGGCACTGGCGCCAGCTCCAGAGCCTGAGAAGGCACCGGAGCCCACAGAGGAGGCACCGGGTTGTTTTGTTTTGTTTTTTTCCAGTAGAGTTCCGAAACACGGATAAATCAAGCATAAAACCTGTGCGGATTTGGTGGTGCTGGGGAAGGGCAGAACGAACACCAACTCCAAGGATCAAACATGGATGAAGTATGAGGGCAGAAAGGAAACCCTCGAACCCTCAAGCCGCCTGGCCAGCCGCTTGGCGGTATGCGCTTTCCTTTTCTCCTGCGATTCCAAGAGATATCCATGCGCCAGCATTCCCTTTTGTTTTCTGCAGGAGGAGAAGGAGAAAGACACCACGCCCATGGTGGGCCTTTCGCCAAGGACTCAGATGAACGCAGCTCTGCAGCGGAAAAGCAAGATCAGACAGAAGGAAAGAATCGCAATATGAGAAGCATTGAGAAACGATATCATGTTGGTTGGATCCTTCTTTTGTCTTCTGTTCTTTTCAGCAAGATCCACTCGACTTCCTACTCATTGTTTATTCATGATCCTTCATCCACAGTTGCTGGGACGGGGGGGGAAGAAGCCAACTCTGGAATCTGACTTGGCGCAACGGTGCTTTGATAGAAACATGACACATGTTCACCATGCGAGAAGTCATTTGACGTCACCTATATTTAGATATAATTAGATATATATATATATATTATTATATCATCCTAGCATTGGTGCGTGCAAAATACCGTGTGCTTTAAGCATAGCAAATCTGTTTCTTGTGCTTCCGACCCGACCTCCAGATCCGACCCGCGACCCGACCGCCCGGCAGGTTGGGGCAAGGACCCAAGGCCCGAAACGTCTTCGACACCACGGACTTCGATGCCGAGGCGAAGAGCGGTTCGTGAGCGGTGAGCGATGCGGAGCGGTGGTGATCCGGTCCGGTTCGCTGCTGCGGCGGCATGTCCTGGGCGGTCTGTTCTTTTTTAGCTTGCGCTTCATGACCAGGATTGGATCCGGTCAAAAAGAGATTAAGAGAAGAAACCACGATGTGAAAAACAAAGAAACATGAGGTGATGTTTGAGATTTTTGTTGAGAGGTGTATTTTTGGGATGACGACAAGGTTGGAAAAACTTGTGGCTTTTTCTTAGCCGTAGGGAATTTGCCAAAGCTGTGGAATGAGTTCTTGATATTTTGGGGGGGAATTGTTGATCGATCCGATTTTGTGGTTTTGAGGGGCTTCTGCAGTTACGCTTTTGGTTGGGGGATGACCTTAGAGATGAACAAGATGAACATGCCACTCATGAACTGGTCACCCCAAATGTTCGGGGTTGCTCAGGAGTGGTTGAGAAAGCTTTTGAGAAGCCCCGAGCACGGTTTCTGGGCAGGTCTTGGCTTTTGAGCAGACCGCGCGAGATCAGCGGCCAGACTTCTTGGGTGCTGAAGAGCGGGCCGCGTCCAAGCGGGGCCACGACCCCAAAACCCCATTGGCCCACTCAGAGCCCCACAGTTTTTTGGGTGTGTTGGTGGAGAAGCCAGGAGAAGCCTGAGAAGCGAGTCCTCACCAAGGTGGAACCCACGGAGGCCGTTCCGTGTCTGGCCAGCTTGAGAGAGGGAACGGAGTGAAGAGATCGGTATCGGATACGGACGTTTTGGCTGAACATAAGGCAAGGCAAGAGTTTTTTGGATTTCATGTTCGGTTTTTGTGACTCTTGCCATATCCAAGCCACAGAAAGTCACCAAAAAGGGACTTGATTCGATGCAATTTTGAGTGGAAGAGTTCATCAGTGAAGGTTCATCAGTGAACCTTGGTGTTTTGGAGCATAGTTTGTGGCGTAAACGCAATTTGAAATCATTTGAAATTATCGTATCAACCCGTGCTAGTGAGAAATGCAGCGCAGCGCAGCAAGTTTTACTGTAGCACTTTAAACCAATATTACAGTCTCTCGTTTTTTGTTGCCAAAAACAGGATGGAACGATCATTTATACCAGTACTTCGGAATTGTCCAAATGCAAACGATCCCAATTGAAGTTATTAAATCTTGAATGTTCATCGTCGCAGCGGATGCAACTGATGTATTCATGGGAGTTGTTTCCAGCATCCCAAAAGCCTTGAACGTTGTACACGACAAAACAAACGCTGATTAGAACGACGCGGGTTTCAGAAAAGTAACGTTGCAGGACTGCAGGATCATCAAAATCATCAAACAAAAAAGACTTGGCACATCTCAGCACCCGGTTCATGTTTTGATTCCGGGCGCCGAGCAGAATCTTCCACCAGAGTTTGGTCGCTGATTCCACCGTCCTCAGGAGAAGACTCGAAAGATGGCCAAGGTCGAACCAGTGGAGGCGGGTCTTCTGAGACCGGTTTAGATGTAAAGACCGTAAAGGAAGCGGCCTGAAACGAGGCTGAGGCAAAGTGGTCTCATGCACATATCTTTCCGGAAGCAGATTGGTCTCAGAATAGACTTGTTGGAACAGTGAGAAGATACCAGATGATTCACAGCACTGTACCAACCAGAGATCCTGGTAATGGGCAAAAGACTGTTTGCATGTCACAGCCTCCAGCTGTCATGACATGATGGAAAGCCAATTTGTCTAACCATTTCGCCGTGGATCGCCAGGAGAAACCCGTCTCGGCCAAAGTGGAGCCAGTTGAGGCCGAGACCCGACCGCAGGAAGCTGTTCGGAATCCATTTTTGCCTGACAATTCATGTCCACCCGATTTATCTTGGGGTGTTTCTTTTTGCATTGGATCCTCAAGATTTTCCGAGGGAGCATGTGGTAATGACCTGCCATATCCTGCAAGTGGATATGTCACAAAGATCAACAAAGCAACTTCAGAGTAAGCAATGTGGGCCTCAAAAAGGACCCCTCCCACCACAGGGCCACGAGTGTTAGTTTGATGCAAGCAGCAAACCCAGACTTGAGGTTTGGGTCAGTCCATTCAGGCAGTAATTCTGTTCCCCTTGCAGCCATTCTTTGGTAAGATGGTTTTCACCATGCCTTGTTAGTTGGCTGATAAGGCTTCAAGTCGTTTGCTCATCACCGTTTGACCCCCAGCACCTGAATTGTGTTTCTCTTGATTCACCTTTCTATTCACTACTACAAGAACATATCGTTTTTTTTCGTGAAGATATTAGTTGAAGTTACGAGTTCTGAACATCCCAATCACCGACGTTTGCTTCGGTTCCGAGGCTCCACCGGCGCCCACCCACTCCGCTGAGGCCGGGTGGATCCGTGCAGATCTGTAAGTAGCCTCCTGGAGTGGAGTATCCACCTATTTGTAGAGGCAAATGCT